ATATAATAATTATGTATAAATCATCAAAAGAAAGTAAATAAAGTGTTCGAATAAAGGACATGATGGTAGATCGTGTAGCATAGCTTGAATCTGTTCAATCATAAAGCCCGTTTGGTGTAATGGATATGACGTTCGCATTGCCAGTGAGCGGTCACTAGGCCGAATCCGGTCAGAGTCATTTTATTACACAATATTTTTATTTATAGGACAACATTCGTTGAGAGCTATGCTACACGATTACTGTCATGTCCTTTATTCGAACACTGTATACATTTCTTTTGTGATTTATGTATATATCAGGGGCGTAATAGAAGAGGAATTAAAATTGCCCGATAATTACCTCGCTTCTTCAAAGGAACATACTTGGGGCCCCAAGTTGACTTGGGGCCTAGTTGGAATGGGGCCGAGTTGACATGGGGCCGAGTTGACTTGGGGCCGAGTAACTTGAATTCAAGGTAGGCAGATCGCTGAGAAAATGTTTCAGTTGCAAAGATAGCGATAATGGTATTAAAAAGTGCTAGGAGTATGGAAGGCATCAAATATGAATTGTATTATTGCTTTTTTTTAAATCCGATTGTAAACCCGCGCGTATGAGCTGCTAGCAATGACAGTACAGTTGACTGACAGACGAATTACATTGACAATCATTTTCACTTACTCCTCAACGGTCCGTACCTCTTGTAGAACGCAGATTGGTAACTATATTTATTACTTAACCAAAGACGTTTACTTAACCAAAGTCATTTGGCTAGGCCAGGCTGACTCGAGCGTACCGACCACGTGTCAAATTCTGGCCAGCGGACTGTAGGCAGCCTGGAAGGCATGAAAGCCCGATTTATGGGCTTGCTACTTAAGGCCTATGTTAGGCCTCGTTTGGCTGATGAATTGGAGAAGTAAGATGCAGATTTTATGTTTTTTAATAGATATAAAGAAAAAAAATATAAGATGCAAAAATACTAGATAATCTGAGATTACAAACCCTCACCCTGCTGTCGCGCCATATCTTTGTATCTGCTGTTTATTGTGTTTATTATTTATTTTTTATTGTGTTGTATTGTAGTGGTATAATATTACAAGCTATAGACATCAGGTTAAATGTAGTCGAGCGGTAAAGGTGCACGTTTTGTGTGTAAAGATAATCGAACGTATGGGGTTCAAATCTCACTCTAACTTGTTTTTATTATTATTATTATTATTTTGTTATTATTATCATTTGTGCATATATATTAAAATTTAAAAAAGAATTGTAAAATAATGAAATGAAGAAATGTATTCTATAAGATGTCTGTGAAGCCGTTTTTGAGATATGCCGCACACAAAAAATCACACAAAACGAGGTAATGTTACACTCACACATGCAAACTTACTCGGAGATAATAATATAATTTGAATGCTCCAGTACCTGTATAATATATATAACAGCAATAATAATAATAATAATGAAAATAATAACGTAATCGAACGTACGGGGTTGAAATCTCACTTTTTTTTTATTATTACTATTATTTTATTATTATTATTATTATTATTATTATTATTATTATTATTATTATTATTATTATTATTATTATTATTATTATTATCTTTACACACAAAACGTGTTACTGCTCAGCCACATTTCACCTAATTGCTGCGAAGCAGCCAATCCATATTTTTGACAGCAATTTGACCTCTGAAAGGTCATTGTTTGTCAAAAAACCTGCGCCTATGACAACTGAGAAGCGGAGTTTCCTTCTTTCGTTCTGCCGGGTAAAATCAATTACTTTAGGCGACGTTTGTAGACTAACCTACTCGTACCAACGTCCGGATGTCGCGACGCTGGAGTACTATTCAGCGTTTTTACTATATTTCTAGGTTTCCTATTTCTACGTTTAATCGGCTCATGTCTCAGCCACAATATTTTGAGGCCAATATTATTTACGAACCCAGTTAAAATTTACTAGCCTATTACGTGCTAATTATTACAATTAGGCGACGCTTGTTGTAGACTGGCATACTGTTTTCGGAAATAAATACCATTTTATACACATGCGCAGATCGATTCGCCAGCAGCGAGTCATCACCAGCAGCAGCGAGATGTCACTGCAGCAAAACACTATTGTACACCCGTCGGTACCAACGCTGTTCTATATATAGACAATGGGTCGTGTCTCATATTATTTGTTATATATTTATTATTCATTATTTTCACTTGACTCGCATAAATAATTTTGTTCGAAGAACATTTTATGCAGTTTTACTTCGCAGCACTTCACTTGCAATTTGCAATTTCTAGTACATATAGCCAGTAATATTATACCCCTATAATACGACAAGAACAACCAGCGGATAAAAAGATATGGCGCGATAACAGTGCGAGGGTTTATAATAGATTATCTTTTTAATTATTCAAACAAGCTGCTTATTGCCATTTTAAATCAATACAGACCTACTGTAGGCCCTCCCTAAGGCCTAGTGGCTAAAAGTAGGCCTAGGCCTTTAGATGCACATCTGGTCCTACTAGTTAGACAGCGAGATTTGGCATAAATTTAGTTCCCGTCTTGGAAAATTTTCAGTTTTTATATAGGTATTTATTTTAATGTATTTATCACGATAAAGAATCTCCTGTTCTGGATACTAAAAGTGTTTACCTGGCTTAACGATACGTATCCATTCTCTAAAACAGTTGGCCTTCAAACCCGACGCGAAGAAACCGCCAACGCATATCAATCCATCATAGAAATCTATAAAAGAAAATAGCAAGTGCTTTTATAGCTATTCTCGACCTTGCTTGCCGTGGTTTTGTTCAGTGTATTCAGGGAGTTATAAATAACAACTCCCTGGTGTATTGATACCCAAAAAGAAAGAAATGAATAGTCCATGGATCACAAACTTTATTTACAGGCGCAAACGGAGTTACATACAGTAACTACAAAAGGGCTTAACATGAGATATAAAAAACAGTAAATAAAGGATTGCTTTAAAAGCGATCTAATTCAATCCACTCTCTTAAAAATTGCTTCACAAAGAAGAATTACACATATAGAGTCGGCAAGAAGAATCAACACATCAATGCATGCAGAAGAAAAACCAACTAAACAAAACATTCAAATAAAAAAAATTAATACAAAATTTAAAAAAATAATTATACAATTGTAATATTATTATAATTAATCAATATAATTTTTCAAAGAAATATTGGAATTTATAAAAGATCAATACAAAGGGCACAAACAAATTTACAATACTTGATCCATAAGATTTTTAAAAGATCTAAGAAACTCGTTTGCCAGAGAAAATGGAAGACCAGAAAATTTGTAATTCTTAGAACTATGTAAATGAGTTAATAAATTTGATGACAATTAAAACAAGATTTTATGACTTCGTGCCATACACCGCTTTTGAAATATATTTGTAAATCCAGTGAATGATGCAATTTTGTCCAGTATTGTTTACATTCAGAGGTGGCACCAAGATTTGGCGACGGTCGGTCGCCTAATGTACTATACTAATTTATCCCATTGAAATAAAATAAGATAAAATAAGACAAAACTGAGAAACTAATTTTTACCTGTGGCTAAATTCAGAGTTTGTCCAGAAAAAAATTCACAGAACAATCGTTTGAATATCTGTTTGTTTTCAGCAACTTGCAAACACTTGGGGGCACAATCAAACCCATCAATATTTTGAAAGCTAAGTTGATACAGCTAGATCAAATAAAAACCAATTTAAACAAGAAGACAAATGGGACAAGAAATTTAAAAAGTTCTTTTTTATTATAATTATTTCCAATAAAAACATATTGGTAATCCATCAAACGATGTTTTTAGACCAATGGCACATTTTGTTAAACATTCATTTCTGGCCCTGTTCTGGTCGGTCGGTTGTTAAGTTTGATCGAAAATCTGGAAAAGTCTATTGTGCTGTGCCGAATAGATCTGGAATAAATAGAGTCAATATTTGGGCTCAAGGAGAATCCTTTACAGCTCCCTATAACATACTATTTCTTCACGTTCTCGGACATTTTTGGACTGGCTTTCTGGAGTGAACAATATATTAAAGCAACGTTTCTCGATTTTTAAAATTGATATATGAATTAATATATTTACCTGTTCGCCTACAAGTCCGGTCCCACATCCAAAGTCAAGAATGTTGGCCTTTCTGTCAGGTATATGCTCTGAGAGTAGGGTGCTGCAATATTTCGGTGCAGTATAACCGCTTCCCTTTGAAAACTTAAACACATTTTTCTTGTTCATACGAAGCATAGCTTATATTACGATTTACTTAGTTGTCTATAGTATTGTGAGGTGGTTAAAGTTGCCATTTTTAATGCCAGATTAAAGATGCTGTCTATCACGAGCAATAATCCCCCTCCATAATAATAATAATAATAATAATAATAATAATAATAATGATAATAATGATAATAATAGTAATGATAATAATGATAATAATAGTAATAATAATAATAATAATAATAATAATAATAATAATAATAATAATAATAATAATAATAATAATAATAATAATAATAATATCAATGTTGCTCTATTTATTTCCATATGCCTTTAAACTGGCTAATAATCGTATACTATATTTGTGTAAGAACCTACGATTTACCGTCCAAGCGAGTGCACAGAAGAATGGAAGAATTTCTTATTGTTATTGGAATTGTTTGAGTTCTTATTTCTATTAAAATGTCATAAAAAGTAATTTTATGCCAACATGTATATACAAAATATTGGACGAGGACTTAACAAAAGCAACACGTGTGTTAATTCATTACTAAAATCAGTTTGTGACGGTTTACCGCCCAGATGCGTGCACACATCTGGAATAATTATAGCACCATTCTTTTTGGTACCTTACCATTTTGGTATTTTTGAGTTCCTATTTATATCTATTAAAATATCGTACAAAATGTAATTTTACACTAACACGAATCTACAAAACACTGGACGAGGACGTAAAAAGCAACACGTGTGTTAATTCATATAAAATTACGTCAGTTCAGTACAGTACAGTACAGCACAGCACAGTGGAAGGAGCGGAGTGATATTCAGTAAAGAGGTAAATGGAACGTGCCACTTCAATGAGTGAGTGATACAAAGGCCGCTGCTCACTAAATATAACGGAATAATATATTATTAGTGGTTAATTATTATATTAACCACTACAAGTCAATATATGACGAATAAGGAATGTCTACATTCATCACAACATTTTAGCATTTGTACTGAATCCAGTTTTTACATCATTCTGTATTAGTATCGACTTACCTGTTTTGTAAACATTATAAAAAAAATTATTGGCTCACGGTTCTTCTTTATCTACAAAGGTCTTTCGAAAATCATAGTTGAAGGCGTAGCAGCATTCAATATATTGTGTATAAACCAATAATTGCAATAATTGTATTCACAGAATGATTATCTAAACATTAGGATATTCCTGGGGACGGATCAAGAGAAGGCAATGGTCGACGACTCTAAAGATGTTACTGTAGAATGTTTTCTGTTTTGGGAGGTGGGGAAGGAGAGGGGGTTTAATGATTTTGTCAGGCTAATCTAATATTATTTTTGGCACAAGTCTCCAGAAAGATGACAAAAGTCAGAAGACCCTCCTGCAAATATCTGGACTCGCCCCAGTTGTCAGCCTCGCAGAAGACCGCCGCCGCCGAAGCCGGCCCTTTTACGAGTCAATTATTTTGCATTTCATTTATTCATTTATTTCCACACATCATCAAATAAAACATATACTGTACATAGTTTATTGAAACAAGTGTTGTGTGGAGGGAGAGTCGGATAAACCAAATAAGGTTTTAAGATCGACCCACCCCTTACAAAACAAAGAAAAAAATACAAAGACAGTTAAACAATTATACACGATTCTTTTAACATAAGGAAACAAAAAAAAAAAAGAACAGGATTTTTGTAGCAAAATATATTGTTGCCGATCTGTTTCCACTTGATCCATTTAAACGTACTATTCTTAATGCGATTTTGAATGTTCAAATATTTTTAATTAGGCCTATTATTATTATTTGGTCAAGTAGTAAGTCAAAACCGAAAAAATAATACAATTTACAGTGGCGTCAGCATTTTCCTGACTGGGGGATGGAAAGCCGAAGAGAGCGTAAGGCGTGGTCGATGCTTAGAAGATGCGGGAGAACAATGGGAAATTCTCCCTAAAGATTTGCAGTTTTGTATTTTGTGTAGGGATGCGAATATTGTAAGGCTTTACCTCATCAAACGTATCGGCCAAGTCATCGAACTTCTCTATAACATCGTTCTTTGAACTCGATCCTTGAATAATGTCCATCAACTTGTTTTCAAATTTTTTGGAAGCATCCATCTCCATTTAAAGATTTATTGATTTTACTGAGAATAAAAAATAAAAAAGATGCCTCAAAATTGGAAAACTGCATGGCAATTAAATAATATAAATGTAGGCCTAATATAAATATAAATATATCGACATTAATAAATTACCGTAAATTAATTCACTTAGAATTATGAATACAAGAATGTAACATTGCATATGAAATGAAAACATACAGAGACAACAAACAGAATTTACATTTTTTCTTCATAATCACTTGATATTTCAATCCATCTTTAATATATTATCTGCAGGAATGTTAAAACATGTACAAAAACAAAAAAAAGAATTATTTTAATAGTACTCTCATTTAATTAAGTGTTTAGTAAACAATAGTTGGAGTCAATATTAACACAAGCATTACGCAGTGTGCAGAAATTAAACTAATAATAATAACCTCAAAATAATGATATCTAACAATTGACGATATATATAATAGGTCGGGCGGCAAATGGCCGGGTAGCAAAAGGCCGCTTGGCGATTTTTTCCGTACGAAACATTTCCATGAAACGTCACTCGGGCCGTCTCGGCTGACTTGACTCGAAAATGTTATATTGCAGAATTCAGTTCAGGAGGTCAAAAAGGTCATCAACCAAAGATATGTCGCTGTCTGATTTTTAAAAAAATACATTGATATTACCAATAACTAATGGACTGTTTCACATTGTACATTTTTATTAAAATGAGATTTTTGATTGAGCTTCACGAGTAATAAAAAGTGTTATTTGAACTTTAGTTAAAAATGTTATTTTTTTAGTTAGGCCTAGATTTAATTAAGTATAAGGCCTAGTAATAGTATTGGATTGGATTGGCTTTATTCGGTGTAAATATGATAGCCTACGAAAGTATAGAAGAAGACTTAATTTCCAGTAGGGTCCTTTTGGTGGTGATTGGGCAGTACACCGGGAGACGATCCCCTTCTCTTTTCCGAAGAGTGTACTGCGTTCTTTACAAACATCCGAAAGACGCTGCGCTATTTTAACTTGTATTTCAGCCCTCTAGAACACAAGAAGAGCTAGCGATGGGAATTGAACCGGAGACCTGGAGATCTCCACGGTTCAGTGCACACACAGTGGCTACTACCAGATTAGCCGAATAATAATAATAATAATAATAATAATAATAATAATAATAATAATAATAATAATAATAATAATATAATAATAACATAACATTAACAATTAACATACAAGAGGCTTCTGCTAGTTACAGACGTACATTCCATAAATTTCATAGCTACTGTAGGTAAACACTTAAAGGGGGGTGCGGCGATGAAATAATTAATTTCTAATTTAAAATAGAGGGATGGGCGACCACAACGACGGTGACGGCACTCGATTTTGGAGCGCGGTATTCGAAAACGAGGCTCGTGAACTGGGTCCCAAAAATAAACTGGTGCTACAGGATTTTGAGCTAGTGTTATAAGATAGGGAATTTCCTAAAATGTACCGACTTTCAAAGGCTTGCATTCGGTAACCCCATAAAAAATCGTGTCAAACTTTAGATATTCCAATGTAAATTTGGCCGTTCTTTTCATTTATATGGGTTTTCACTTATGAAAA